TAATTGTCACTCGCAGTTTGAAAGCTAAAACCTGGAGTACAACACGCACCCCAAAAGCTCAAAAAAAATTATAAAAAATCGTTAAACAATCACTTTCCATTAGGGTAACTGTGGTATCAAATGGAGCAGTATATGAAGCAATGAGTGATCGCTTTAATTATACGATAAATAATATTACATGAGAATGTGAATGTCGAGGTTGGCAAATAACAAGTTTGCCATGTAAACATGCATGTAAAGCTCTTCAAGTACTGAATAGGGATCCTGTTGACTACTGTGAAGAATAATTTACAGTTACAAAATTGCGTGAAATATATTATGTGCATATCATGCCAGTTACTTTGATCGACTTGTCTGGGCGTAGTTTACATGGATAGCTTCTTCCAGATGAAGTAAGAGTGCTTCCACCTCACTCAAGACACTCCCCTGACCGACCTAAAAAGAAGTGTATCGAGACGCATGAGGTACCAATGCGACCTATTCACTGCAGTCGGTGCAAAGGAATAGGTCCTAACAGGGCAACATGTAAAGCACCTACTTGAAGGCATATAAATGTAAAGCACATCTACTTATGAGTTACATTTGTTTTTTTGTTAGTACATATACTCATGTTATTGCTTTTATTATTCTCTTTTTTGTTATTGTTGTAGCATCAACTTGTCATTATTTATTGCCAACTCATATGGACATATCATCTTAACTGATGTAGCGATGCAAGACCCAAAACAGTCAAGAGGAACAAGGGACCCATCCACTTCATCCGATCAAAGGGAAATTGTACAATAGTCTATTTACTTTACTTTGTGATTGATATTATTTTGGTAATTCTTATATTGCTTATAACTAATGTATGTCATTTTTTATTAAACTTCATTTCAGAAGAAAAAAAATTACGTATTAATGAATCAACAAAGACCCTTAGGAAATAGGAGCTAGATCCATGACAGATAGCTTTAGTTGAAAATACCAAATTGAGCTCTTTGATAGACATTGGGGTCTCTAATATCGATTGCAATCTATTAAGGGATTTTACAGAGAAATTGTGCAAGGCAACGAATACTGCGGGTTTGACTGTTGGTGAGATGACTCCAACCTGGCATATATTAAGGATGCCTGTAACAGGAGAGCCTGTAATAGACATCAGATCTACAGACTACAAAGCTTTCATCATGGAGTACTTAGGAGATTGCCCTAAAAAAGATAAATTAAGACGTTTAAAACATACTTGGTTGAGAACTAAATTCGGGCAACTACCAAATTAAAACTCCTTCAACACACTCAAGCCTATCTACTTTATTTAGTGGGCACAACGATATTTACCGACGCATCTCAAGGGTCAACGCTTACAAGTTACCTACAACTATTTCGATATCTCGATGAGGCTAGAAAGTATGCATGGGGTGCAGCAGCACTTGCCTTTTGTTATCATTCATTATCAAAGGTTGCGAAAGGGGAATCGCATTTTAGTGGGTCAGCAGCATTACTACAGACAATTTTCAACTTTCTTTAGTCAATATTTAGATATATACAGTCTTATTGGCTTCTAACTAATACTTTTATTTTTTTCTTTTTGGTAGTATTGGATCTATGAGTATTTTTCAGCTCTAAGCCCCAAACCCAAACTATAGCCATAGAAATGCCTAGAGCTTGCAAGTAGAAGAAACAACCACGCTGTAAATGTTCATTAACAGCGTTTGATGAAATCTCAATTGACATGGTTAATGTTATTATTTTTGTTATAAGTAACATGGTTAGAAGTAAGTTTTTATGATATATCAATTGAGAGTGTTTAATGCAAAAACCCTTTAACAGTGTTGTGTTATGTTATTGTTGTAGGTGAATTGGCAACTATATGAGCACTACACCCCAGTAGATACACTCAGTAAGGAAAAAGCATTGTGCAGATCATATTTGATCAGTTTTCACATTGCAGATTACTATACACGTCGGATCATGTGCTGTAACAATTTGGGAAGATGCAAGCCATTTCTGTTGGGCCACCCAAGTGGGAGAGGAGGGAGAAGGTCGGTCTACATCCCACTCATTTGGATTGATGAGTTGGCTAGCGAGATAAGCGACTGCATGCAATGTTATCAAGGCAGCCACGGATAAATATGGTGGAATGCTTACAAAAGATTACATTGCCTGGTACAGCATGTTCACCCATAGATATGGAAGTACTCCCATATACCCCCCACCGCAGTCGCAATCATATGTACCGGCCCCTCGCAGACAAGAGGAGATTGGAATATTATTTATTTTTTGTATTTCAGTTTTTATTTACTTAAAGTAAGCAGTATATTTATGTTGTTTTATATTATCTACTTGCAACGATTAACCTGTATAAGGATGTTATAAGCTACACTTCATGGTGAAGTATTAGCAGGGGAATCCCGACGTCATGTACAAGCTGCCCACGATTTATTAATGTAAAATACTCTTGTAGATAATGCCGAGGAGATGGTGGAGGCCGATGGTGGAAGTGAGGGTGATGAGACAGATGGTGGAGATGACGACGAGAGCGAGGAGGGAGATAGTGGAGATGAAGAAAGCAAGACAAACTAGGGAGATGGTGCAGATGAGGAAAGAGAGACTGAGGGCAGAGATGGTAGAGATAAGGAAAGAGAGAGCGAGACTGATGAGGACAATGAGAAGAGAACCAAGAGCAAAAATAATAAGGGCAAGGGTATTGCAAGTTGACCAAAGAAATGGTTGAGGTCAAGAAAGTGAAAATATAATATTTTTTAATGTATTTTTGTTGAGACAATGTAAATTGTTGTCATTATGTCAATGGATGTATTTTTTTTTTAAACTATGGTTGAGGCGAAGAACATAAATTATATTATTTATGGGAGACAACTGTAAATTGTTGTCATTATGTTAATGGATGTATTTTTTTTGAAACTATGGTTGAGGCGAAGAACATAAATTATATTATTTATGGGAGACAAATGTAAAATGTTGTCATTATGTTAATGGAAGCAATACCTTTTTAAGTTGTTTTTATTGTCATACTAGCCAGTTAATGAAGATGTAATGTATTCTTTATCAATGTAGTTCCTGCTTTGAAACTTGATCAACCATATGCCAATGTATTCTTTATTAATGATTTTGTAAAGATTGATATGATATGGTTAACAAGCAGGAGGGTGCTAACAAAATTGTTGATGGGTCCATTTTCTTTGATCATTGCATAAGCACTTACATGTTCATAAGCTAATGCATGTCATAAGCCAATGCATGTTCTAAGACAAACTTGGTCAAGCTAATGCATGTTCATAAGCCAATGCATGGGCCAATTTATTAGAAATACATCATTTTTTAATTCTTCAGAGCAGTCCGGCAAAAATTGAAAGCACTTCAGCAAAAAGAGAAGGCGAGCCAGCATTTCAAGCAGGTCACTCCGGCACACGACTTCCTGGACACATGACCAATCCTGCACTGTATTCCCTCGGTCGGCTAAAGTTTCACTGGATTGATGAGCGCTCCGGCGTTCCTTGCAGGTAAGTCAAGCATTCAGCTTCCTAGACAAATGACCAGTCTAGCACTCTATCGCATCGAACCGGCAAAACCCTCACTGGAATCATGTACACTCCAGCATCTACAGTACAACCGTCCAACAGTTAGTTTCCTAGAAACACGCGCTCCGGTGTTCTCTAAACTCAGTCCGAGAATTTCCTTTTATGTCAAGGTCAATCCGACATTGTACCATGTAAGTCTGGTGATTGTGTCGACCACTCCGGCAGGATTTCAACGCATTATGGAGCTCCTTACTGGATGCACTCTGGGATTGTTTGTATCATCGATCCAGCAATATTGAGCCTCGATCTGGCATTTCGTGCAGGTCACTCCGGTATTAAGCTTTCGGGACAAACAACCAGTCTGACACTTCATCGCATTGTACCGGCAAAAAGCTCACTGGAATCAATTGCGCTCCGGCATTCGTAGTACAGCGACCCAACAGTTTGGTTCTTGAAAATTATTTGTATGGTGTCCACTTGACACGGTCTGTCGATTTTCTTTTGGGTCAAGGTCAATCCGGCATTACACCACAACAGTCCGGTGATTTTGTCGACCACTCCGGCAAGTTTGCAACACAGTCCGAAGCTCCTTTACTAGAGGCACTCCAGAATTGTTTGTGCAGTCAATCTGGCGATAGTGAGCAGCGATCCGACATTTTTAGGGGCACATCAGCAATTTATTGGAGCCGTCCGGCATCTTACATACTGTAATGTATGCACTCTGGCGTTCATGAGCAGCGACTCGGCATTCTTGTGCAGCATTCCGGCAATTCCTATGAGCAGTCCGGCATGAGCTTATATATCTCAGACCACACACTCCGACATTTTTTTGTAGTAGTCCGGCAATTGGATTACTGTAATGTGCGCAGTCCGATTTTCATGTGTAGCGACTGGGCATTTTGGTGCACCAGTCCGGTGATATATGTGCGTAGTCCGGTAGTCTCCTTATTTATCATAAACCGTACACTCCAGCATATTACTGGATCACTCCGGTAATGCGCTTACTATAATGATGTGCAAGCCGGCATTCGTGAGCAGCGTTCCGACATTCTCTTGGATAAGTATGGTGTTGTATGTGTTTAGTTGGGCGTTATGCTTTACCTACTAGAGTGGGTTCAGTATCTGTGCGATACGGCCTTAGTAATCTACAGTCCGACCTATATTTTGTCCAGCAAATATTTAACGCAGTCCGATAAAAATGTAATTGGGTCCGTCCAAGTAATTTTTTCGTACGTTGATATTACAGTGAGGGGCATTTTCGTTAAATAATATCCAATTTTTTTATTTGGGAGTATTAGTAATAAAAGTTGGTTTTCTTAAAAAAAGAGTAAGGAAACTTTAGAAGGGAGTAAAGAGTCAAAAAGCTGATTTTGGGGGTAATAAGTAATTTTCCCTATTCTAATTTACTGATATTATAAAAATTCATCTGCTTAGCGAATTTATTCCCTAAGCAATAGAAGCGAATTAGATTCCACCCCATTGATATGTATAAACGAGTCTAGAGAGAGAGGGTTGAGTGAATTTGTCTTTGCAGAGGATCAGTTTGGTTTCTCTCTCTAGATCTCCATCATCAATGGGAGGCCCCTCAGTGAAAGAGCAATTGGGTGAGCTGGACCAGGCTTCCTTTCTCTCTCTACTCTCTAAAATCATTGGAGAAGCAAGGCATGTCCAGAACAACCCACCTGAGCTCATCCCCAAAGAGGACAGGGTAGCAAGGCATGTGCTTGAGGTTCTCTCTCCTCTCTCTACTGAGAATGGTGGCCCTCTGCTTGTGAGGCATGTGAGCTATGTGGAGGGGAGGGGGAATGTGATTGTTGAGTACCCAGGGACTGAACCAGATAGGGTTTTCTCATTTGTGGGGTGCCACATGGATGTTGTCACTGCTAATCCTGAGGATTGGGTGGGTCTCTCTCTCTCTC